AGTATGGGTACAGGGTATGGGGGGTGTATGAATGGGGAGTATGGGTACAGGTTATGGGGTGTATGAATGGGGAGTATGGGTACAGGGTATGGGGGTGTATGAATGGGGAGTATGGGTACAGGGTATGGGGTGTATGAATGGGGAGTATGGGTACAGGTTATGGGGTGTATGAATGGGGAGTATGGGTACAGGGTATGGGGGGTGTATGAATGGGGAGTATGGGTACAGGGTATGGGGGGTGTATGAATGGGGAGTATGGGTACAGGGTATGGGGGTGTATGAATGGGGAGTATGGGTACAGGGTATGGGGTGTATGAATGGGGAGTATGGGTACAGGGTATGGGGTGTATGAATGGGGAGTATGGGTACAGGTTATGGGGATGTATGAATGGGGAGAATGGGTACAGGGTATGGGGGGTGTATGAATGGGGAGTATGAGAACAGTATTATGAGTACACAAATTTCAGGAGAAAATTAGTACCTTTACTTCATTACATTCAGCCATGTTCTTCTGGCAACATTGATTTTTATTAGTTCAGCTGATATCCTGTTTGTTTTGTTCACTAGAGATTTCTTCTAGCTCATTCAGTCCTCCATTGCCTGTCCAGTTGAAGTCATACTTACGAACATTATGAACGTTCATACTTATTAAACGTAGACTGCTGACGTCATAGCCCTTTGCTTCAACTTTGTCCTTGAGAAAACCAAAATGTTCATCATTACAAGATCTCACATCGATGTAGTGGTCAGTGGTTTGATTAGGGAGAAAATGACTCTCACTCATGCTTTGGACCTTGTGTTTGGTTAAATAATTTGCACAGTGCCCTCTGCAGGTCAAGTGTGCTCAAGACTTTTCTCTCACAGCTTCTGGAGCTTGCACAATAAGGTTTGGTAATAAACATAAATAGCCATTTTTAGTGAATTGAACATTACCATAACATATTTCAAATTAAAGATCTAACAATTAAGATACTTTCAAATAAAATAATAGGGTTCAGTGGCCACAGAACTCATTTTTTATTCTTATCATTTCTATAGTTGTATATAGCTTCTTTATTGTACATACAGTTGCATATTATTCTTACATCTATAGTTTGTCTAGATATTATAATGTTAATGATTATGACATTAAACTTATTTTATAGTCATTGCGGTTTTTGGCCTTTTCATTTGATCAGATTAACATAACCGGGGCAATAACCACAAAACCATGGATCAGTTTCGTGCCATTCAGGCATGTGATTGTACCAGCGTCCCACTGATCCATAGACTAGATATTAAGAAATGCACCAATAAATTTTGAACCTACATTATTTCAGGACATACAGTATCTCACAAAAGTGAGTACACCCCTCACATTTGTGTAAATATATGATGATATCTTTTCATGTGACAGCACTGAAGAAATGACACTTTGCTACAATGTAAAGTATTGAGTGTACAGCTTGTGTAACAGGATCAATTTACTGTCCCCAAAAAATAACTCAATACACAGTCATTAATGTCTAAACATCTGGCAACAAAAGGGAGTATTTTTGTTTAAAATGTACCCAATTAGTCATTTTCCCTCCCCGGTGTCATGTGACTTGTTAGTGTTACAAGGTCTCAGGTGTGAATGGGGAGTGTCATCACTCTCACACTCCCTCATACTGGTCACTGGAAATTCAACATGGCAGCTCATGGCAAAGAACTCTCTGAGGATCTGAAAAATAAGAATTGTTGCTCTACATAAAGATGGCCTAGGTCTATAAGAAGATTGCCAAGACCCTGACACTGAGCTGCAGAACGGTGGCCAAGACCATACAGCGGTTTAACAGGACAGGTTCCACTCAGAACAGGCCTCAACATGGTCGACTAAAGACGTCGAGTGCACGTGCTCAGCGTCATATCCAGAGGTTGTGTTTGGGAAACAGACGTATGAGTGCTGCCAGCATTGCTGCAGAGGTTGAAGGGGTGGGGGATCAGCCTGTCAGTGCTCAGACCATACGCCTCACACTGCATCAAATTGGTCTGCATGGCTGTCGTCCCAGAAGGAAGCCTCTTCTAAAGATGATGCACAAGAAAGCCCACAAACAGTTTGCTGAAGACAAGCAGACTAAGGACATGGATTACTGGAACCATGTCCTGTGGTCTGATGAAACCAAGATAAACTTATTTGGTTCAGATGGTGTGAAGCGTGTTTAGCTGCATCCAGGTGAGGAGTACAAAGACAAGTGTGTCTTGATTACAGTCAAGCATGGTGGTGGGTGAAGGTGATGGACTGGCCAAGCATGTCTCCAGACCTAAACCCAATTGAGCATCTGTGAATCAACCTCACACGGACGGTGGAGGAGCACAAGGTCTCTAACATCCACCAGCTCCGTGATGTCGTCATGGAGGAGTGGAAGAGGACTCCAGTGGTAACCGGTGAAGCTCTGGTGAACTCCATACCCAAGAGGGTTAAGGCAGTGCTGGAAAATAATGGTGTCCACACAAAATATTGACACTTTGGGCCCAATTTGGACGTTTTCACTTTTGTTGCCAGCGGTTTAGACATTAATGTCTGTGTGTTGAGTTATTTTGAGAGGACAGTAAATTGACACTGTTACACAAGCTGTACACTCACTACTTTACATTGTAGCAACGTGTCATTTCTTCAGTGTCGTCACACGAAAAGATATCACCAAATATTTACACAAATGTGAGGGGTGTACTCACTTCTGTGAGATACTGTATACAGTGGATAGATAGAAATCTACACACCCCTGTTACAATTGTAGGTTTTTCTGATGCAAAAAAAAAAAATAATTAAAAAAAATCCTTGGTTTAAAATGAAGCCAAGACAAACCATGTCAGATCTATTTCCATCTTTAATGTGATACAGCGAACAACAAAACTCAAGTGAATAAAATAAATAAACGAGAAAGGAGAAAATAAAAGAAAAAGAAAAAAACCTACAATAGCCTGGCTGCATAAATGCATGGAGTCACCAGTACTTACCAGATATTCCTGTAGCTCTTTAAATGTTAGCCTCCCTGATAGTAGATGTTTTCTCTTGTTCTGTTGCCAGATTTGAAGGGATGTCCTGTTCTGTTCTGGGTACTGATACCTTTCCACAATGTTCCTTTGGATCACGTACATGCTTTGTAAGCTCTTTTGCCAATAAAAAAGGCTTCAGCAGTCAGACGTCAAGAAATTCCCACACAAACAGATGATCTTTATGTGGAGTTAATCGTTGATGACATAAGTTTGAATGTGATTTGGTTAAGTCTATGATTATACCCATTATAACAGGGTGTGTCCACTCATGCAAGCAGGTTAACAGAAGTTCTTTTCTTCTTGCTTTTAGCTTGAATTTATTTATTTTTTTTTAATAAATAAAAAAAACCTGCTAATGTAATATGGGTGTATAGACTTTTCTATCCTCGGTATATGTTACACACACACACACACACACACACACACACAAACACACACACACGCTTTAGTGAAAAAAGCACAGAGCCACGTTTGTTCCTTTGTTAATTTGTCACCAGTCTGTATTTGTATACCAATACACCCCAGCTCTGCACTGGTTCCCTTACACATTAGAAGCATAATGTTGTTGTTGTTGTTGTTGTTGTTGTTGTTGTTCTTTAATGACCTTCTTTACACTACAATCATTATTCTGTTCAAAACTGATGTTCAAAAGTGCACACTGATTCTTTGTGCAAAATAGGGATCCGTGTCCCGGCATTAAAAATGTCAATGAAAATGTAAAAAAATAATAATAATACAGTACTCTATATTTAAGCTACATTAAAATATCAGCAGTAGTAGAGTTCAGTTTTGTGAAATATTGATATAATATATTCCGCCACTTATCTCAAGCCAGGACACGTTTGGTGCATGAACGCATTCGTATTGCGCCGAAGCTATAAAACTGATGTAATCTTTTCTGTAAAAACATGCGTCTGGACCATCCTCATACATTTGCTCCGAAAGACATCATTAAGGTGCGTGATACTATTTTGAAATAAACGATGGTTGTATTTGATTTTGTAAAATTGCAGAGATGTTCTTTGAAGTAAAACTTTAACGCGTGAACACGTTCATGGGGAAAACAAATAGCAAGTATTTCAAATAAATTTGCGCCTAAGCCCGAGTGTTAAAGATTTCCTGGACATAAAAACATTGGCTTATTTACTCCCATGGTTCTCGAGAACATGGTTCTCAAGGGGATAGAAGCGCTATATAAGTGCGCCATTTACATAGGCAGTGGGTCAACTTTGCCACAGTGTGTTACTGGGTAAGACCTTTTAACCGACGTCATGCTGTCGAAAAAGTTCCGTTTAAGTGTCGATGTGATTGAACAGGGTTTGTAGTAATCAGGCCTGGTTGTGTCTAGTCCACTTGAACCCCATTATGAAGGCAGTTTCATAGATTTGGGGAATTAGTAACGACGGGGGCAAATACATTTACACACAGTTGGTACTGGATAACGTTTTTTCCAGGGTGGGGGGGTATGGGGGGTTGAGTGTCGGTGTTGAGATCAGGAGGGTTCCATGTAGTGTACTTGGGTTTGTTGTTAGTGCGGATTACAGCCGGCGACTGCCTGTGAAGTTTGTTTTCATATCCTGTCATACGCGCCAGCTTGCATTACGGCCTGTAGATGGAGACAAACTCTGTTTATGTCTGGGAAGGCGGGGTCTGGGCTCCAGCACTGACATTAAAAGCTAAAGGAGAGCGAGTGCAGTAAAAGTGAAAAACGAGTTGAACTGAACAGGACCGTTTTATCCAACCTTATACTTCTCTGGGTGTAATGAGGGAGTGTGTAATAAACCGCCTGTTTGAGAACGGCACAGAATAACACCAGACTCACAGGACGGCTACGGATACGAAGCGGCAATGGTGAAACCTAAATGAAACATTGTCATGAAAAAGAAAAAGTCCTTATAATCCTTATCGCATCAAACTCACTTGCGTGGCCTGTTTTCCGCACTAGCCTGATTGATTACGTAAGCAATAACATAGTACTTGAGGGCAGTTTTGGCTCAACGATTAAGGCTCTGGGTTACTGTTCAAAAGGTCATGGGTTCAAGCCCCAGCACTGCCACTGTTGGCCTTGAGCAAGGCCGTTAACCCTTCCTGCTCCAGGGGTGCCAGATCATGGCTGTCTCTGACTCCAACTTACAACAAGCTGGGGTATGTGAAGAAAAGACTTTATTGTGACCAGTGAAGTCTTTCCTCTTTTGTTCTTCAATCAGAGATTGACATTTAGGGGTAAATAAGCATAACCATCCAAACATTATGGCATGTTTATGGCATGTTTCTGAAAGGTGAGAGGAAACCAAAGCACCCAGAGGAAGGCCAGAAAGAAAATTTTAAACCTGCCAGACTCCACACACGGTAACCCAAGGTGTGACGAGACAGTGCTACCCACCCCATTTTTACTTTTTAAACTCATATCTAAGGGATAAAACAGGCCCAAAGTCAGTGGTCAGCAGTCACAGTCAGCAGTCACAGTCAGCTGTTCCAATTAGCAACAAGCTACAGTGGTGACACTCACTCTGCACATGATCAGTACCACGAAGGGACAGTAACTTCGTCATGGCTATGAAAATCTGCTGTCGAAAGACAGAGTTCGAGGAATGAAAGTAATGTTTCTTTTTTGGAGAACATTTTGAAATGTAAATGTAAATGGTAAATGTGCACTTATATAGCGCTTTACACTGTGTCTTATTCACCCATTCACACACACAGTCATACACCAACGGTAGCAGAGCGGCCATTGCTAGCTTGCCAACTTGGGGTTCAGTGTCTTGCCCAAGGACACTTCGGCATGTGGAGTCACCCGGTAACCCGGGCCGGGAATCGAACCTCCAACCCTACGATTAGTGGACAACCCACTGCGCCACAGCCGCCCAGATGTGTGCTCGCACTATCTATCTATCTGTCTGTCTGTCTGTCTGTCTATCTATCTATCTATCTATTTGTGTGTCTATCTATCTATCTATCTATCTATCTATCTATCTATCTATCTATCTATCTATCTATCTATCTATCTATCTATCTATCTATCTATCTATCTATCTATCTATCTATCTATTTGTGTGTCTATCTATCTATCTATCTATCTGTCTGTCTGTCTGTCTGTCTGTCTGTCTGTCTGTCGGTCGGTCGGTCGGTCGGTCGGTCGGTCGGTCCGTCCGTCCGTCCGTCCGTCCGTCCGTCCGCCCGTCCATCCATCCATCCATCCATCCATCCATCCATCTATCTATCTATCTATCTATCTATCAAAACACTAAATAGTAAATAGTTCACTTACATGAAAAATAGTTTACTTCCTGGAGAATATCACGTCACAAGATAAAGCTCAAATAAATGCACATCTCAGCTGTTATTGGTGACTGATATAGTGGTGTGTCATGTAGTGCTCATCACATTTGCATCCGTAAATGGTCAGTTGCAACATTTTGGTTCTTTGGTTTAACTGTATATATCTTTTTATATTTGATTATTTTTACATGATATTTTTTTTACATTTTATTATATTATATTAACACGAACATTATATTTGATTATTATCAATAGTTAACATATAAAATGGATTTAAAAAAGAAATAACTATTTAGAATAGTTTGCTCATAGGATTTACAATAAAACATCACTAAATGTCACCAGTGACCCCACTCTCCCCACTCACTCAAATCAACCCATTTTCACCCTGATCAGTGCGTTATTTATTTATTTTGTGTTTAACTGGTTAGCTTTAGACGGTGTACAGTCATGGGGGAAAAAGAAAGTACATCCTCCTTCAACTCTATGTTTTTATTTATTAGGGCCTAAATAACTATTGGGTGGTGCTCACCAACTTCTTTACACAACCACTTAACCTCGGGTGCAAAAATAAAAATAAATAAATGAAGAAAGAAAGAAAAAAAAAAACACATACACACAACAGATCTCATCATGTTGCCATTTTTCAAAAGACTAAACCAACGTTCAGAAACCAGGTGGGGAAAAAAGTACACCCGTTTTACTTCCACAATTATTAATAGAGCCAGCATCCAGGTGTTACTAATGAAATGCACAAAATGAGTCCATCATCAAGAGGTGTGATGATCTCTATAAAGATAAGTTTGGTGTTCTGGACCACTCAGTTCTGTGTACACATCATGCCAAGAAGAAAGGACATCAGCCATGACCTCAGAAAAGCAATTGTTGCTCCTCCTCAATCTTGGAAGGGTTATAAGGCCATCTCTTAACAATTGGAAATTCACCATTTTAGAGTAAGAATGACTGTTTACAAACGGAGAGCCTTCAAGACAGGTGACAATCTTCCCAGGAGTAGGCATCCCAGCATTTCAGTCCAAGGTCAGTCCAAGAGCTAGATCATGTGACCTACAGGCCTCTGTGAGCACATAACTCTGTCATACACATAAACGTGTATGTTCATGACAGCACAATCAGAAAAACACTGAGCCAGTATGGCTTTCATAGAAGTGTGGATAGGAAAAAAAATATGATAATACGATAGCATGACTTTTGCAAAATTGCAACCAAACAAACCATAAACGTTCTGAAACAATATCCTTTGGATTGTTGGTGAAGATGTTTAGTCATCATGCACAGTTCCATGTTTGGCAAAAACCATTGTATCATCATAAATACCCCATACCAACTATCAAGTGTGGAGGTGGAGGGGTGATGATTTGGGCTTGTTTTGGAGATGTCTGGTCGTCATTCACAGCACCATGTTTGAAACAAAAAAAAACCACCGTATCACCACAACCACCTCATACCAACTATCAAGCGTGGTGGTTGAGGAGTGATGTTCGGGCTTGTTTTGCAGCCACAGGATCTTGCAGTCATCGAGACAACAATGAATTCCATTTTATACCAATGTAAGGCCATATGACCAGCAGCTGAAATTGGGTCGTTCAACAGGACAATGATCCCAAGCACAACAGCAACATTTGAAAGGCTGAAGAAGGAGAAAAAAATCAAGAAGTGGGACTGGCCAAGTCAAAGTCCAGACCTCGACCCCATTGAGATGCTGTGGTGGGACCTAAAGAGAGCTGTGCATACAGTGTGTAAAGAACGGTGGGCCAAAATTTCTCCAAAACACAGACTGATAAAGTGCTACAGAATTTTTTTTATTTTTTTTTACTTGTTTCTAATTGTTACTTTCTTGGGGAAAAATGATGACAACACATTTGTCATTTAGGCCTTGATAAATAAAAACATAGAACTGAAACAGGGTGTACTTTCTTTTTCCCAAGACTATATATAGCTACTACAGTTTCTCATCTGAATAAAAAAATACACGCTGGACAGTGCACGCCCACAAGTGACATCACTACTCCTACGCAGAGCTGATATGTCACATTACGGTATTACACAATCATTTAATTGTTATTTTGGTAAATGCACCATTTCTGACTGTTCAAACTGACAGAGAGTATTTTGGGTAACACACCTCGGTCACTGAGTACAACAAAAGATTGTGCACAGAGCACTTGACTAAGAACTTAAGTCGGTTCTCAGAGAGTACTTTGTACTTCTTATCTTATCTACACACCACGTCAGATTCCATTTGGTTTGGTTCTTTAGTGAAATGAGGTCAACGTGTGTGGGACTGAAACAAACACCTGTAACCACCCCAAGAGGGGAAAAAAAACAGTTTGGGCAGGACATTAGTCCTCACCCACGTGTGCTAACAGCAAGATAGCATTTACCCCAGGAAATCCCCAGTGGACTTGCGTATGTCAAACCACAGACAGGTGCTAAAATAATTTATCTGGAAAACGGTGATGTTTACGTCTTATGGTCACATCAGATACATCAAAGACGTGTGGTTATTGTCCCCTGGCACGACAGTCCCTAATTTCAATTTTTTCTCATTTGTATTTCATAGTCTACTTTTTTCATAGTCTAGCATTTTCACAGTACAGGCAATCATTTGTGTGGTGACATCATCGTGTAAACTGACACTCCAGGAAGTCTGAGTGACTCATCAGAGAGGAAATAGTGCGTGTTGCGAAAAAAAATAACAAAGCAAAAGTGATATTACTGGATATTTAGATAGACAGATAGATAGATAGATAGATAGATAGATAGATAGATAGATAGATAGATAGATAGATAGATAGACAGACAGACAGACAGACAGACAGACAGACAGACAGATAGACAGATAGATAGATAGATAGACAGACAGATAGATAGACAGACAGACAGATAGACAGACAGATAGATAGATAGACAGACAGATAGATAGATAGATAGATAGATAGATAGATAGATAGATAGATAGATAGATAGATAGATAGATAGATAGATAGATAGATAGACAGATAGACAGACAGACAGACAGACAGATAGACAGACAGATAGATAGATAGACAGACAGATAGATAGACAGACAGACAGATAGACAGACAGATAGATAGATAGATAGATAGATAGATAGATAGATAGATAGATAGATAGATAGATAGATAGATAGACAGATAGACAGATAGACAGACAGACAGATAGACAGACAGATAGACAGACAGATAGATAGATAGACAGACAGATAGATAGACAGACAGACAGATAGACAGACAGATAGATAGATAGATAGATAGATAGATAGATAGATAGATAGACAGACAGATAGATAGACAGACAGACAGATAGACAGACAGACAGATAGATAGATAGATAGATAGATAGATAGATAGATAGATAGATAGATAGATAGACAGATAGACAGATAGACAGACAGACAGATAGACAGACAGACAGACAGACAGATAGATAGATAGATAGATAGATAGATAGACAGACAGATAGATAGACAGACAGATAGATAGACAGACAGACAGACAGACAGACAGACAGATAGACAGACAGACAGACAGACAGACAGACAGACAGACAGACAGACAGACAGACAGACAGACAGACAGACAGACAGACAGATAGACAGATAGATCATTTTTATTGGTCCTCAAAGAGGAAATTTGTTTCCACCGTGGGTGCGTAGAAAAACATAAACACATAAACACACCGTACATTATAAACCATCATAAACAATCACAGGCATAGAGTGTTTCAAACATTTCA